AGGCAGAGTTGCTCTGCCCCGGGCTTCCTGGAATCAGCTGCTGATCAGTTTCAGCAGCAGCTGACTTGGGGACGCCTGGGGTTCTTTAGTTGAATCTGTATGTAAGCAGCGGCTGAATCTGGATGCCAGTTCCGACTTACATACAGATTCAACTTAAGAACAAACCTACAGTCCCTATCTTGTACGTAACCCGGGGACTGCCTGTAATAATAAAATTTACCTAATGAGAAAATACCAGAAAATACCATGTTATATGTCTGGTATTTTTCTCAGGTTTTTTTTTTTTATGTGTTTATATTTTTGGGCTGCAAAAAACAGTACTTGAAAAAAAAAAAAAAAAAAAAAAAAAGAGTAAAAAGTTTGGGAAACCGAGGTCTAACCAGCTTTCTGTCTGTCTTACAGTCCATTTTTCCAATCCATATTCCTTAACTTGCTGGCAAGAATATTGTGGGTGACCATATCAAAAGCTTTGCTAAAGCTGGCACTGGGGGCTTGGGGAGGACCAGAAACAACTTATCTGAATATTCATCATTTGATTAATGAATATGCAAATATGCAAATGACCGTTACTGGTCCTCCAAAAGTTCATGAATGGATTTACTGGTCCCCGTGTCAAAAAGTTTGGGAACCCCTGATATAGGACATCTATTTCTGGGCAAATACCCAAGATTGGGAATGTGATGTGATCACCATGCAGTATAAACAAGGCTGGTAAGAATCAAGGTGTGGCTTCCTGGCTGTACAACATACAGACATAGCTGGGAGTGACTTTCAGGCTGAAGTGTGTTTGTAAGCAGTCCAGACTGAAGACTACAGCAGAAAAGCATTGTAAAAGGCACTCCACGTTAGCTGTGTCACTCATGCCCTCTATCACAGTCCGAACTGTACCCTGCTAGGTTATAGCCACCATCCCAAAACAAGAGCTATTTCAAGTTTAATATATATAACTACGATCATACCTTGTGCTACCGTTGACATAACCACCGATGGTGTCGATGACACCACAGCAGTCACAGCAATGGTATTTGGAGTGGAAGAGGGAGTGGAACAATTGCTGCCGCTACTGCTGCTACTGACCAAAGAGGACTGAGAAGCTGTTATAACCACTGGTTGCTTCTGAGTTGTTGAGGCAATGACAGATGTTGGGACAAGTTTAGTAACTGCTGCGTAGTTGTGAGACTTGGAGAGAATGTTAGGTACAAATGTTGAACTTGGAGAGGTGGTTACTATGATCACCTGAAACAACAACAAAAATCATCACTCACTTGTGTTTAGAAGTTGTATTGCAAAGATGATATATTACACACATACAATGCTATTTACTTTTAGTGATTTTACTTTAACTGAGTTCATTTGCAGATCTGAATACACTTACTAGCAGCAAATAAAACGTTTCCCTTAGTTGTGGAGCAGGGCAGCTAATCCATCAGCTTTTGAAGGAATTGTATTTTCAATTAAAATGGGTAAGTTTTTGGTTATGAAGAAAACAGTCTGTATGTGAATTAAAGTAGTGAAGTTGTCAACAAACTGAAACAAGACAAGTATCAATTGTCTCAGTTCATCTCACTGGGAAGCAAAGTCTGACCATCACTCAAAACTACTTCATGTCTGGAATTTCAAGAGGTTTTAACCATTACTCTCCCAAACCCTCCTTGTATCCTAAGACTAGGAATGTAAAATCCCATTTAAAATGTTAACCGGTTAAACTATATGTTTAACTGGTTAGCTGGCCTGCAGCATCACTCCACAGGTAGGGGGTTGCTCTCGCTGAGCCAGGCGCTGGTTAACCAGTTACCGGTAAGCATCACCTATCCCTACCCAAGACCTGGCAACAAGGAGCATAAACTCTTTATTTACCTAATTAACTATTTGCCAACAGTTGACCATTTAGCAATATGAATCAAAAACTATTTTTTCAAATGATTACTACATTTCCCGTCAATGCAATCAGTCTGCCCCTCCCTAATACTTTATCAGTGAACAATTCATTTTAGGAATCAGAAGTAATTTATCTTATTATCTATGCATGTTTTAAAGATAGATAGGAAATTTCTTCCTCTTACGATACCAATTGTCTACAGATTAAAAATGCCATACCTAGTGAATTACAAATGCATCTGACTATTCACTGAAATGCCTAGAATTCATTTTGACCTTTCAAGAAGAAGATTTTACTTTTATGCAATTGTCTGGTTTGAGAAACGGATTGTTTTGATCTTACTGTGTATGTGCATATACAATATACGACATGCTATATTACATATGTTCACACAAGAAACATACAAAACATCTCAAAATACATACCACACTGAGCATATATACATATTGTATAAGACACGTAAAACCTAAGCAATACTTATCTGGCCTACATAGTGGGACACTAGAAAGCAAAGTATTTCTCTAAAGAACAATTAAGAAATGAGGGTCTGAACTATTATACTGTTTAAATACTATTTTCTCACACAGGCAAGGAATACAGAAAATGTATAGCATCCTTCCACTGGTAAAAGGTTATTTGATTAGCTGATCAACAGTAAGTTATTCAGATTTCTAACAGGAAGCTCTTTATTTTGTTAAAGACATTTATTGAACATATACTGAAGCTAGTACTGGCAGTTTTGAGAAATGCCAAACATTTGGTCCTATAATGATGTTGTCAAGAGATATTGAAAAAAAAGTGAGGGTATCAGATGCCACCGGGACTTGACTAGATTAGTTACTAGATTGTACAAATCTTTACGTAATAGAAAAATGGAAGAACACTGACATCTTCCAGTGGGATGTATGAATTTTCCTCCAAACTATCGAAATATCACTACAACCTTTTAAATTGGTATACAAATTCAAGAACCACATTCAACATCATTTCTTGTTTAAAGGCAACAAAGGCAGGAGGGGGGAGACAGGAGGCTGCTACAAAGCAGCCTCTGCCTGAGGTGGGCCCAGGCTAGCCACGGCAGAGGCTGCTCCAGCAGCAGCCCCTGTCCACAGGATTCCAGTGGGGAGCTGGCACCCCTGTGGACAGGGCTGCTGCTGAAAGCAGCCTCTGCCCATGGCGTCCCAGGCTTGCCACAGGTAGAGACTGCTCTGGCAGCACCCCTTGTTGTGGCATCCCAGGCTGGCTGCGAATGGTGAGGGAGACAAGGGAAGGGTCTCACCTCCCCACTAGGACCCTCCCTCCCTCCCATAGACAGGGACTCAGTCCCAAGCCCGGCTCAGTCTCGGCTCACGCCGGGTCTGGGATCTATCCC